GGATATAAAATCAATGCACAAAAATCAACAGCCTTTGTATACACAGGCAATGCCATGGCTGAGGAAGAACTGCTAAGATCAATCCCATTCACAATAGCTACAAAAACAATCAAATACCTTGGAATAAACTTAACCAAGGATGTTAAAGATCTCTACAATGAAAATTACAAAACCTTAAAGAAAGAAATAGAAGAGGATACCAAAAAATGGGAAAATCTTCCATGCTCATGGATTGGAAGAATCAACATCATCAAAATGTCCATTCTCCCAAAAGCAATTTATACATTCACAGCAATACCAATCAAGATACCAAAGACCTTCTTCTCAGATCTAGAAAAAATGATGCTGAAATTCATATGGAGACACAAGAGACCTCGAATAGCTAAAGCAATCTTGTACAACAAAAACAAAGCTGGAGGCATCACAGTACCAGATTTAAGGACATACTACAGGGCAGTTGTTATCAAAACAGCATGGTACTGGTACAGAAACAGATGGATAGACCAATGGAACAGAATAGAAACACCAGAAATCAATCCAAACATCTACAGCCAACTTATATTTGATCACGGATCCAAAACCAATCCCTGGAGTAAGGACAGTCTATTCAATAAATGGTGCTGGGAAAATTTGATTTCCATGTGCAGAATCATGAAGCAAGACCCCTACCTTTCACCTTACACAAAAATTAACTCAACATGGGTTAAAGACTTAAATCTACGACCCGACACCATCAAATTATTAGAGAGCATTGGAAAAACCCTGCAAGATATAGGTACTGGCAAAGACTTCTTGGAAAAGACCCCAGAAGCACAGGCAGTCAAAGCCAAAATTAACTATTGGGATTGCATCAAATTGAGAAGTTTCTGTACTGCAAAAGAAACAGTCAGGAGAGTGAAGAGGCAACCGACAGAATGGGAAAAAATATTTGCAAACTATGCAACAGATAAAGGGTTGATAACCAGAATCTACAAAGAAATCAAGAAACTCCACAACATCAAAACAAACAACCCACTTAAGAGATGGGCCAAGAACCTCAATAGACATTTTTCAAAAGAGGAAATCCAAAGGGCCAACAGACACATGAAAAAATGTTCAAGATCACTAGCAATCGGGGAAATGCAAATCAAAACCACAATGAGGTTTCACCTCACCCCAGTTAGAATGGCTCACATTCAGAAATCTACCAACAATAGATGCTGGAGAGGATGTGGGGAAAAAGGGACACTAACCCACTGTTGGTGGGAATGCAAACTGGTTAAGCCACTATGGAAGTCAGTCTGGAGATTCCTCAGAAACCTGAAGATAACCCTACCATTCAACCCAGCCATCCCACTCCTTGGAATTTACCCAAAGGAAATTATACTGGGAAACAAAAAAGCTGTCTGCACATTAATGTTTATTGCAGCTCAATTCACAATAGCTAAGACTTGGAACCAACCCAAATGCCCATCAACAGTAGACTGGATAAAGAAATTATGGGACATGTACTCTATAGAATACTATACAGCAGTCAAAAACAATGAAACCCGGTCATTTGCAACAAGATGGAGGAGTCTGGAAAACATCATGCTGAGTGAACTAAGCCAGTCCCAAAGGGACAAATATCATATGGTCTCCCTGATCGGGGACAACTGAGCACCAAAGGGGAAACCTGTTTAAGTGAAATGGACACTATGAGAAACAGTGACTTGATCAGCTCTTGTCCTGACTGTTGATGTACAATGTAATACTTTATCCATGTTAGAATTTTTTTTGTTCTAGTACTATTGGTTGAACTCTGTAATTAACACACAATTATTCTTAGGTGTTTAAATTTTAACTGAAAAGTGATCCCTGTTAGGAATTTGGAAAACATTATGCTGAGTGAAATAAGCCAGTCCCAAAGGGACAAATATCATATGTTCTCCCTGATCAGTGACAACTAAGCAAGCACCAAAAAGGAAACCTGTTAAAGTGAAATGAACACTATGAGAAAAGGTGACTTGATCAGCCCTTGCCCTGACTGTTGATGAACAACTTAATACGTTATCCCTCTTAGTATTTTTTTTTGGTTTGTTCTACTTAATACTTTTGGTTGAATACTGTAATCAATACACAGTTATTCTTAAGTGTTAAAACTTAACTGAAAAGTGATTGCTGGTAAATATAAGAGTGGGAATAAGAGAGGGAAGAGATGTGCAATTTGGGACATGCTCAAGCTGACTTGCCCCAAACGGTAGAGTTAGAAACATACCAGGGGATTCCAATTCAATCCCATCAAGGTGGCATGTACCAATGCCATCTCACTAGTCCAAGTGATCAATTTCAGTTCACAATTGATCATAATGATAGGACTAAGAACCAAAGGGATCACATAAACAAGACTAGTGTCTGCAAATATTAACTGATAGAGTAAAAAAGGGAGAGAACAATCCAACATGGGAAGCGAGATACACAGCAGACTCATAGAATGGCAGATGTCCTAAACAGCACTCAGGCCTCAGAATCAGCCCTTAAGGCATGTGTATCCTTCTGAAAAGCCCATGAGAGTATTTCAGGCATGGAAAGCCAAGACACTCTGGCAAAAAAAAAAAAAATTAAAAAAAAAAAATAAAAACCTAAATGAAAGATGTCCGCGAGTGAGATCCCTGTGGAAAGAACAGGTCATCAAAGAAGGAGGTACCTTTCTCTGAAGGGAGGAGAGAACTTCCATTCTTACTACGACCTTGCCTAAATAGGATCAGAGTCAGAGAACTCTAAAGGCTTCAATAGCCTTGGCAACTCATGACAAGAGCCTAGGGTGATTACTGATGCCATAAACAATAGTGCCAATTTGTTAAGTCAACAACAGGAGTCACTGTGCACTTACTCCTCATGTAGGATCTCTATCCTTAATGTGTTGCACAGTGTGATTTAATGCTATAACTAGTACTGAAACAGTATTTTTCACTTTGTGTTTCTATGTGGGTGCAAACTGTTGTAATCTTTACTTAATATATGCTAAACTGATCTTCTGTATATAAAGAATTGAAAATGAATCTTGATGTCAATGGAAGGGGAGAGGGAGCGGGAAAGGGAGGGTTGCGGGTGGGAGGGAAGTTATGGGGGGGGGGGGAGTCATTGTACTCCATAAGCTGTACTTTGGAAATTTATATTCATGAAATAAAAGTTTAAAAAAAAAGTCCTTGTGATTGGACAAAGAAGCTGACCACAGGGAGTAGGTGAAGCCCAGACTGCAGATGATGCTCAAGACAGAAGACTGGATGACATCTCTGCAGGGTTCACTGAGGCCACCTGGACCAGAGTTGGCCTGTGCTGTGAGAACAATTTAGTCTGCCAGGAACTTAGACCACTTCCCAGGAAAAGAAAACAAGGAATACAGTTCTGAATTGGGTGTTTACTCCAAGAAGACTAATTTTTAAACTAGAAGCATGTATGAGAAAAACTGGTAAGCCAGAAGAGCTCATGGTCTAAGGGAGGTTCATTTATATTAAAAAAAAAAAAACTACAGAATTTCGGTTTTCTAAATTTAGAGTTATAACTGTGCTGAAATATAATATCTACTAAATATCAGGCCTGAGGAACCTCAATTTTTTGTTTTTCTTGATTACTCTGAAAGGCTATATTATCTGACATACTTTTCAAGATTAGATCAAGGGGAAAATTTCTTTCTCAAATAATTTCTCACTCATAATACTTAAAATGTATTAAGAATATTTTAGAAAACTACATTGAAAATTACTCTCTCACATAGGAAACATTATCTTAAGCAGATTAAGTGTATTTTCTTTAATTCTTAATTTGAAAGCAAACTTTCAAAAATATAATTCAAGGCATTAGTTATGTATCAATATTTTGAATCCATTATAAATTTTCAGATAGCTTAGAAAAATAGATTTTTTCTTTCATAAGTTATAACTAAACATAAAGTAGAACTATAGGAAGAAATTAATATGCAAATTTAATTAAGTTCTATCTACACAATTAGCTTTGGTTCAGTCTCATCTTTGATTGAGGTGAGCATCCACTCTGTGGATTCAACCACTTTAATTTGTAACTGTGTTTTTGAGGCATGGACCAAAGCTTGTTGAGTTACAGGATAAGCCATTTGAAGTATTAGCCATAGTAAGCCATGATAAACCAGAATAAGACTATCAATGTTATACATAATGAGATTATTAATATCAGGTTTTATATCAGCTACATTCTCCCAGAATCTTCCACACATTGGTGAGGATAAGATTGGATTGAATTATCTTTTTGATGTTGTTACTTTGAAATAACTTAATCCCACAAGTGAATATTTAAAAATGGTATCTTCACATCATGCTGAGTGAAATAAGCCAGTCCCAAAGGGACAAATACCATATGTTCTCCCTGATCGGTGACAACTGACTGAACACCAAAAAGGAAACCTGTTGAAGTGAAATGGACACTATGGGAAACGGTGACTTGATCAGCATAGCCCTGACTGTTAATGAACAACTTAATACATTATCCCTCTTAGTAGTTTTTTTGTCTGTTCTACTTAATATGACTGGTTTAATTCTGTAATTAATACACAGTTATTAAAAAAATGGTATCTTCAGTATTTAATATTTCATTTTTGCTTCTAAGTATTTGAGTCAATGAAGCCATGATAAGGACCACTTTTATCCTAAAAAAAGACAATTTAACCTATGATTTATTAGCATGGACAAAGGATTTGCCTTTCAATGGGGAAAAAATGTTAGTTTATACACACTCTTTCAAGAGCTTAGATTTGTCTTCCATGATGTTATAACTTTAGTCATAGAATAGGAAGAAAGAATTTATAGAAAGAAAAGTGAAAACATTTTACACATTGCAACACTCTAAAATCTTATTTGATAATAAAGAAAAATGATTGTTACCATCTGAAGAAAAGAAAACTGAGTAAAATATCTGAAGCTTTGAATATATAACAAAACTACTGAAAGTATCAGTATTTATGGGCTACTGTGAAGGCAGTTGTACAAAAACAAAATTCAAATAAAAAGTCTGAAACAACTATTTTTAATATCTTAGTTTGAGCCATTGAAAATTCAAGTGTTTCTTCTTTATTTTTAACTTCTTAGGGTAGTGAATCCAACATGGTTATAAACAGGAACTCATTTTACATCTCATACATTCAAAATATTCATTCAGACTCTTCCACTCTTCTTCTGTAAGCATTCTTCTTTTTCTATCCACTGCTATCAATTGTAGGGTTGGAGAGTACTTTAATAAATGGGTAATCGGTTTAAACTAAGAAAATATATCTGTCATTAAGATGGGCTCTGATGGATGATGGATGATGGTTGTTTAAAATTCAAAGGATTTCATCAACATTCTGTCCCATAATTTTTGTTGGCATAGTCTGTGCTCTACATTGTCCTCCGGCAATGCTATTCTTGCATTCCAACACGTTTTCTTAGTTCAGCTGCAGTTTTTTCAAGTTGTTGAATGTTCCATTGCCATTGTCTTCTATTTGATTGAAGCTTGTTCACCTGACAGTGCAGACGCTTAAGAATTGCATCATATCTCTTATGTTGTACCTGTAAAAAGTATACAATCAACAGTGCTTGTGAAAGATACATAGTAAACACCCATAAAGGATACTTTGTTTAAAGAGGAAATCACTTGATTAGAAACCATTCACCGCAAATAATGATATAAACAGTAATTTTATGATAACTAGTTTTTCAACACTTACTACATGTTAGATACTGTGCTGAGGACTTTGTACATATAATTAAATTCATACATAACAACTCATGATGTGGGTATTATTTTTGTGTGAAGAAATTAAAAATCGAAGAGCTTATGTAATTTGGTCAGGTTTTCATATCTAACAAGTGATGGTGTTTGGAGTTTGAATCCAAATGAAACATCCAGGATGAAGTACCTTCTACTTGTCAAGGCACTTAACAGTGTTAAACTAAATTTGTCCTGAGGTCACCCTAATTTGCATTCCTAAGTAAGAACTGTCACTTAATAAACTAACTAGAAGCCCAACTTGGGAGTATATCTTTATAACAAAGTAGCTGAGCCTTAGTCAATTACAGAAGCTGAGTTTGAATCACAGCAGTCAACTGACCACACCATGTTCAAAAAGTGCAAGTGCTTAGCTGTAACCAATCAAGCAGTTCCTGTGCTTCGCTTCTGTTTTCTGTCTATAAATGCCGCATGCCCACATGTGAAGTGGAGCTTTCTGGACCTCTACTGGTTCCGAAGGCTGCCTGATTAGTGAATCATTCTTTGTTCAAACTCTTAAATTTGTTGGAAATTTTTCTTTGAACATGAGTTAAGAAAAATGGTTCCATTTCCTGTAACCAGTTAGTCACTAAAACACGGATCCATAGGTGTAAAAGATATAGGAGATCTTGGAGCCCATTTCCTCGCCTTTAAGTAAATTAGTATTTCTGCTGAGCCAAAGATACACTTAGAGGTTATGAAACAGAGAGAAATACAAGAATTTTGGTGTGCGGCTAATCCTCCGCCTAGTGGCGCCGGCACACCGGGTTCTAGTCCCGTAGGGGCGCCAGATTCTGTCCCGGTTGCCCCTCTTCCAGGCCAGCCCTCTGCTGTGGCCAGGGAGTGCAGTGGAGGATGGCCCAGGTGCTTAGGCCCTGCACCCCATGGGAGACCAGGAAAAGCACCTGGCTCCTGGCTCCCGCCATCGGATCAGCGCGGTGCACCGGCCGCAGCACGCCGGCCGCGGCGGCCATTGGAGGGTGAACCAACGGCAAAGGAAGACCTTTCTCTCTGTCTCTCTCTATCACTGTCCACTCTGCCTGTCAAAAAAAAAAAAAAATGTTGTCGAAGAACTCAAGGATTCTTTACCTTGATTGTGCCATGGAAACTTCTGACAGTATAGTGAATACCATAGAGTCTTTCATGAAATAATTTTTTAATGTATAAAATACAAACTGGATTGCAAAGAAATCAATTATATTGAAACACAGCTCTGTAGCAGCTGCAGAGGCAGTGGGAGAGTTACGGTCTTAGCATTTCAAAATACTATTATAAAAAAAGTGAAAACTTGTAAACTCACACTTCACATTAATTACTATAAGCTTTTTAAGTCTTTTTAAGTTTTCAGCTTTTATTAATTGTGAAAATTCAGACGATGTATTCAAATTGATGAACGAGGCCGGTTGATATACTGGCGAACATAAATTACTTTAAATAGAAAGCTAGTATAAGCTAAAATATATTACATAATGAAAGTACATGTATATTCAAAAGTAGTTTTTTAATACATTGAATATATTCAAGAAGATATATATCCACTTACACATTGTATCCATTGTATATATGAGGGTACTTCAAAGTTTTTGGAAAAGGCATTAAAAGATACTTTTATTTTGGTGCAAAAATTTTAAAATCTATTAAATATACATTTTCTATAAACTTTTGGAAGACCACTCATATATGTCAGCATATATATCAAATGATTTTCTGTATAGTTTTGTCAATTACCCAAAAATGTTAAGACCTCTAATAGGATTATAGAAGTGTCTCTTTTTATCTTTAGCTCTGTTAGTTTTAGCTTATGTATTTTGAAGCTCTGTTACTAGGTAAGCATATTTAGAATGGTTATTTCTTCTTGGTAAATTGATTAATCCTCTTAAATTGTTAGTAGACTATATGTTGAAATTGACTTGATATTAATATAACCAATCCAACTTTCTTAAGATTGGTGTCTTCATAGTTTATTTTTGTCTATCTTTCTACTTTTGAGTATCTATATCTTTATTTTAAAAGTGCCTTGTGAAGAGGTTATTCTTGCAACTTAAAAAAAAAGGCTGATAATCTCTCCCTTTTAACTTGAGTGTTTAGGTCATTTACATTTAATGTAACTACTGATATTTTTGAGGTTAAATCTACTACAATATTTGTCTTAAATTAGTGTCTTTTGTCTTTTCCCTGTTTCTGTACTTTCCTGTCTTCTTTTAGGCAAATCAAGTATTTTTTTGTTGTTGTTCCATTTAATTTATTCTTTGTTTTCTAGCTATATTTATACCTATATGCATTTTTCCAAGAAGTTTCTCTAGACACTATTAATAAGAGCCAAGATATGGAATTAACCGAAATACCCATATACACAATGAACTATTATTCAGCCATAAAGGGTTTAAATCCTGTCATTTGTAACAACATGAATGGACCTAAAGAACACCAAGTTAAGTGAAATAGGCCAGTCATAGAAAGACAAATACCACATGATTTCACTTGTATGTGGAATCTAAAATGTTGATCTCCAAGATGTTGAGAGTAGAACAGAAATGACCAGAGGCTGGGGAGAGTATGAAAGAAGTTCATAGACAGGGCCAGCGCCGCGGTTTACTAGGCTAATCCTCTGCCTGCGGTGCCGGCACCCCAGGTTCGAGTCCCAGTCAGGGCGCCGGATTCTGTCCTGGTTGCTCCTCTTCCAGTCCAGCTCTCTGCTGTGGCCCGGGAAGGCAGTGGAGGATGGCCCAAGTGCTTGGGCCCTGCACCCTCATGGGAGAACAGGAGGAAGCACCTGGCTCCTGGCTTCAGATTGGCGTAGCACGCCGGCCGTAGCGGCCATTTGGGGGGGTGAACCAACAGAAGGAAGACCTTTCTCTCTCTCCCTCTCTCTCTGTCAATAACTCTCTCTCTCTGTCTCTCTCTCTCAGTGTCTAACTCTGCCTTGCAAAAAAAAAAAAAAAAAAAAAAAAAAAAAGAAGAAGAAGAAGAAGGAAGGTAGATGGGTGAGGTTGTCCAAAGAAAACAATGTCACAGCTGTATAGGAAAAGTAAGTTCTGGTGTTCTATTGCTTAGTAGGGTGACTATAGTTAACAATAATGCATTTTATATTTCAAAATACCTAAAATAGAGGATTTGCATTTTCTCACCAGAAATAAATGATAATGTTTAAAGTGATGGATACAGTGATCACTCTGATTTTATCATTACACAATGCATACATAAATCAAAAGATTACACTGTACCCTTAATGTGTACAATTATTATATCAATCAAAAACTCTAAAAAAGGTTATAAGTTATCCAGAATTTCAATATGTATTCTTTTTTAAAAAACACTTTATTGAAATACAATATGCATACCATGAAATTAATATATATAACTATATACCAAATGATATGGATACCCACCCAATTTTTATACTCTATATATTAACTACCACAAATAAGAGAAAGCATGCAGTCATTTGTCTTTAGGGTCTGGCTTATTTCACTTGGCATAATGATCTCCAGTTGCATACATTTGTTGCAAATGTTAAGATTTCATTCTTTTTTAATGTCTGAGTAATATCCCATTGTGTATATATATCACATTGTCATCAGTTGATGGATGTTAAGGTTGATTCTATATCTTAGCTATTGTGAATTGAGCTGCTTTAAAGATGGGAGTGTAGGTAACTTTTCATATACTGCTTTCATTTCCTTTGGGTACATTTTCAGGAGTGAGGTAGTTTTCTAAGGAAACTCCATACTGTTTTCCATAATGGAGTTCCTGATTTGCATTCCTACCAACAGTGCACTAGGCTACCTTTTTCTCCACATCCTCACTAGCATTTGTTATTTTTCATTTTTGGATCATAGCCATTCTAACTGGAGTGAGGTTATATCTAATTGTGGCTTTTATTTGCATTTTGATCCTGAGCATCTTTTCATGTGTCTGTTGGCCATCTGGATTCCTCCTCTGAAAAATTCCTGTTTAGGGCCAACATGCTGCCATTCCATATGGGTGCCAGTTCAAGTCCTGGCTGCTCCACTTCTGATCCAGCTCCCTGCTAACAGCTTAGGAAAAGCAGTAGAAGATGGCTCAAGTATTTAGACCTCTGCCACACATGTAAGAGATCTAGATGAAGTTCCTGGCTCCTACCTTTGCCTGGCCCAGCCCTAGCCATTGCAGCCTCCTGCAGGGACTGAACAAGTGGATGGAAGATCTCTCTGTCTCTCTCTGTAACTCTTTCAAATAAATAAATGAAACTTTTTTTAAAAAAGATGTCTGTTCTTATTGTTTGCTCATTTCTTAACTGGATTGTTTTGGTTAAGTCTCTTGGAATCCTTTATACTCTGGATATTAATCCTTGATCATGCATAGTTTGCAAATGCTTTCTCTGATTCTGTTGGTTGATTCTGTTGGTTGTTTCCTTTACTGTGCAGAAACTTCTTAGCTTAATGTAATCCCATTTGTTGATTTTTGCTTTCATCACCTGTGCTTCAGGGGTCTTATCTGAGAAGTCCGCCTAGGCCAATATCTTGCAGCATTTCCCATATATTTTCCCTAGTAATTTGATGGTTTCACCTTAGTTTAGATCCCTGATCCACTGTGAGTTGATTTTTTAATAGGGCATGAGGTAGGGGACTTGTTTAAAACTTCTGCATGTGGCAATCCAATTTTCCCAATAACATTTGTTGAAGGGACTGTCCTTTCTTCAGGGAGTTATTTTAGCTCATTTATCACAGACTAGTTGGTTGAAGATGTTTGAATTATGTTCTGGCACTTCTATTCCATTCTATTGGTCTCCATGTCTATTTTTGTAGCATTACAAGTTTTT